ACCATCAGGTGCAGGACCTTCAATAACTCGGTCAGCCCCTCCTCCATACATGAAGAGGCTGTCCAAAAGTGAAGCAGCAGAACGGCGAGCGAAGGGACTTTGTTACAACTGTGACGAAACATATGTACCGGGGCATAGATGCAAACGACTATTCTGCCTTTGGATGGATGATGACGAGGAAGGGTCTGAAAGTCACATTGAGCCCACAGTTTCCCTTTATGCCATGGCAGTACTTCGTCACCCCAACACGCTTCAAGTGCAAGTCCAATTGGCCGGTAATTATGTTCTTGCAATGATTGATTCGGGGAGCACCCATAATTTCATCAATTCCCAAACTGCCCTCTCACTTGGGTTGCCAATAACACCTCGCCAGGATTTTCGTGTGGCAGTGGCTAATGGAGAAAAGCTACTCAGCACAGGTGTGTGCGAGCGAGTAAGACTTGTTAAGGCCGGTGCCACATTCCTGATTAATCTTTTCGTCTTACCGATATCAGGGTTTGATATTATCCTTGGGGTAAAATGGTTGGAGGAATTGGGTGATATCGTGTGTAACTTTAGAGAGCAAAGGGTCACCTTTACCATACAGGGAAGAACCGTTACTTGGACAGGAGATGCAGCTCCAGTTGGCACTACTTTGAATTCTATACATCCTACAATTTCTAATGATCAAGCAATGGAGGAGCTTCTTAGTTACTTTGACACCATTTTTTCTGAGTCTATGGCGCTGCCTCCAACACGGAATTGTGATCACCGTATTATTCTCAAAGCTGAGACAGATCATGTTGTTGTACGACCGTATCGCTACCCACAACTGCAAAAGGATGAAATTGAGAAGCAGTGTTTGGAGATGCTAGAAAGAGGACAAATTCAGCCAAGCCGAAGCCCGTTTTCATCTCCAGTACTCTTGGTTACCAAGAGTGACAACTCATGGCGCTTTTGTGTAGATTATCGGGAACTCAATGCACAGACCGTTAAGGATAAATTTCCTATTCCGGTAATTGATGAGCTCTTAGACGAACTTCACGGATCTCAGTTCTTCACAAAGCTTGACTTGCGCTCAGGGTACCATCAAATACGCATGAGCCCAGAAGATGTTGAAAAAACAGCATTCCGCACCCACCATGGACATTTTGAGTTCCTGGTGATGCCATTTGGCTTGTGCAATGCACCGTCCACCTTTCAAGCACTTATGAATGAGGTATTCGGGCCCCATCTTCGTAAATTTGTCTTGGTTTTTTTTGACGACATATTAATCTACAGTCACACTTGGGTGGAGCATCTACAACACATTAGAATTGTGTTTGGATTGCTCCAAACTCATCAATTGTTCCTAAAAAGGCAGAAATGTGTCTTCGGCGTGCTAAAGGTAGCCTATCTCGGACATGTGATTACTGGAAATGGGGGTGGCGGCAGATAATTCAAAAATCCAGGCAATCATTGATTGGCCTGTACCAGTCACAACCGCTGCTCTTCGTGGATTCCTTGGTCTAGCTGGTTTTTACCGACGTTTTATCCGGAACTTTGGTGTACATGCAGCACCTTTAACTTCACTCCTTCGTCGCAATGCATTTTCATGGTCCAGTGAAGCTCAAACTTCATTTGACACGCTCAAAACTGCCTTGTCCAGTTCACCTGTATTGCAATTACCCAACTTCTCCAAACCATTCCTAATTGAATGTGATGCATCAGGGGTGGGTATTGGAGCAGTTCTACAACAAGAAAACCACCCTATTGCCTTCTTCAGCAAGAAGCTTGCAGACCGCCACCTTAAGCTGCCGGCATATGAGCGGGAATTGATAGGCTTAGTCCAAGCAATACGAAACTGGAGGCACTATCTTTGGGGCCGCTCTTTCGTGATCCGAACTGATCATTATAGCCTAAAATACTTACTGCAGCAACGCCTTACAACCTGACCACAACAGCATTGGATGAGTAAACTCTTAGGTTTTGATTTTGAAGTCGAATACAAACCTGGAAAACTGAATTGCGTGTCAGATGCTCTATCACGGAGGGATGCAAATCCAGCAACCCTCATGGCAGTTACCATGGTTCACGCCCAGTTAATGGAGGACTTAAGGAAGCACTTTCAGCACTCCGAGGAAGGCCAGATTGTTTTCAACAAAGCAGCACAAGGTGGAAATTCTAATTGGACAGTTCGTGATGGCTTGGTCTATTACAAGTCCAAAATATATGTGCCGACTGACTTTAATTATCCCTACCATCCTCGCAACAGTTCATAATGCTACTCATGAAGGGATTCAAAAGACCCTGCATCGCATAAAAAGGGAATTCTATTGGGATGGCATGGCATCCTCGGTAAAGGACTTCATCACCAATTGTGCTATTTGCCAAAAAAATAAATGGGAAAACTTGCACCCAGCAGGTTTACTCCAACCTCTACCAATTCCTGAACAAATATGGGCTGATATTTCAATGGATTTTATTGACGGGCTACCAAAGGTTGGGGGTAAATCAGTTATCTATGTAGTGGTGGATCGATTCTCCAAATACTCTCACTTTATGGCATTGTCACATCCGTACACAGCAGCGTCAGTGGCTCATTCTTTTTTCAGTAATATCTTTAAATTACACGGCCTGCCTTAAACAATAGTCAGTGACAGAGATGCAGTCTTCACAAGCCTATTCTGGAAGGAACTCTTTAAGTTATGTGGCACACACTTGGCATTTTCTTCATCTTATCACCCACAAACGGACGGTCAAACAGAAGTCGTTAATCGCACACTCGAAATGTATCTCAGATGTATGGTAGGAGATCACCCACGCAGGTGGGTAGACTGGCTGCCATGGGCTGAGTTTTGCTATAACACCTCTCTCCATTCGGCTTTGGGTACTTCACCCTTCAAGGTCGTATATGGGCGTGAACCACCAAGGCTTATATCCTACGAACCAGGATCATCCAAAAGAGAAGCAGTAGACATTGCTTTGAAGGACAAAGATGCAATCTTGAGCGCTGCTCGAAATCACCTCATACGGGCTCAAGACAGAATGCGTCTTGCATACGACAATAACCACCGAGATGTTGTGTTTAACGAGGGACAGTGGGTTTGGCTTCGCCTGCACCCATATCGTCAATTCAGCGTAACCAAACTGACATCAGCGAAATTATCTCCACGGTATTTTGGACCATTCCAGATCATCAAGAAAATTGGCAAAGTGGCATACAAGTTAGCCCTTCTGGAGGGTAGTAAAGTCCATGATGTTTTCCACATTTCTTTACTGAAGGAATTTAAGGGAACACCACCAGCACAGTCTCCCACACTACCTAATCTTCACGATGGGAAACTTCTGCCACAGCCAAAAGAGGTCTTACGGGGTCGTCTTAACAAGGGCAAAAAAAGAGATTTTAGTGGTGTGGTCTGGCATGCATCCAGATGAGACTACTTGGGAGGATGTCGATGAGTTCAGTCTTCATTTCCCTACCTTCAAGCTTGAGGACAAGCTTGATCTCAACGAAGGGAGTAATGATGCATTCATAGGGCGTCAATATCACCGTAAAAGAAAGAAAGATAAAAATCAGCAAATAACACAAACAAATCTGACTGATTTGGAAGACAAATAAAATCAAACAAATCTGGGAGACAAATAAATCAGACAAATCTGATTGACATGTCACAGTCAGGGATTTGAGATCCTGAGAGATCTGAGATATTATTTTCTGATTGCAATCTTTGAATTATTGTTTTCTTTTAAGTTGTTTTCTTTATTTTATTTTCCAAACTCTGTAAAGCCTATTTAATGGCCAGTTGAATGCAGGGAAAAGGTATGCAAGTTTTTAGCAAGAAAAGTCTGAGGGAGTTTCTGGAATTCTCAACAAAAAATTCCAACTTGATAAAAGTTTGCATAATTATATTCTTCTTAGTTTTCTGCCCAAACAGTAAACATAGCCAACCCTTCCAAAGCTCAGTCTACCCTCCCACTCACCCGAAGGCCTGTGACGAGATCTTGCACACAAGCTGCCCGTAACATACTATTCCCTTTGTCCCACAAAACTTAGCCAAAGTTGACTTGTACGTAGATTAATACTACCTCCGTCCCACTAACATTGGGACGGAAGAAGGTGACACGGTTATTAAGAAAAATAAGTTTGTGTGGTTGATATTGAATTGAAAAAGTAAAAATTAAGTAAGAATGATTTAGAGCCACACAAACTTTACCAAATTCGATATGAGACAGTCTTAGTGGGACTTTCCGAAAAGGTAAAATGGGACAATCTTAGCAGGACGGAGGAAGTAACTATGTGGTTGAAATTTGTGCAGAAGAGAATTAACTTTAACCACATATTCCCTTTATATGGAAATGACAATTTTTTTTGAGACGGTAAAAAAAGAAAATTTGGTCAAGTTTTATGGGAAAGTGGGAGTATGAAAATGTATTAATGGCCCCATAGCTAAATATTAAGAAAGTATTTGCGTGTGCTCCGTTTTGAATTTCATATAAATTCTACTAGAAATTTTCAAGTCTTAAAATATGTAGGATGTTTTACTTAAGTCTTAAAATATGTAGGATGTTTTACTTGGATTGTTTTTAATCACAAACCAAACTAAACCAGACTTGACAGTTATAAAATTCACAAACATCATACATTTACCAGATCAGATCTGTTCAAACCAGATCACATCAGAAAATTTCAGTCCAATTAAAAACATTTGTATTCAAAATGACCTTATAGCAGATTAGGAATGACTAAATTAATCATATAAAGTACGCATGTTTTAATGATTCCTTTTTAATAGTATAGACTTAAATGATTGATTCAAATGTTAAAAGATCAGTTAGAATCTTTTCATCACAGAGCAAACATGAAAACAACAAACAACTTAGTAAGTATACCATTTTCAATCCTGTTCCGTTTCCAGGAAATAGCCACCACGACCCAAACAAGATAAAAATTATGAAATAATCGAGCAAAAGTTATTTAGTCAGACGACGAAGTTAGCTGATAGATGGGCAGGTGAAATTTCAAACCACGAGCAAACATCAACCCCGAATTGGACTTCACCAGCAAATTTAAGTAAACAGTACAATAACAAAAACATATAGGAATATTCTTGATACAGCAGAATCGGAAAACATTCCTATATCTAACTGTATAGGAATGTTCTTAAATATAGCTCATGCAGTATTGGCAGAGAACGGTTGCAATACAATAGAAGATATACACTAAGTTACTAAATGAGTATGATAACATATGAATAAATGAATAAATAAAATAAAAGGCGAATCAAATCTCTCCTCGATAGCAGCCAGACCCGAAGAAGTCCCTCCTTTGATTGGTTATTTGCTGGCTCTTTTGATGCTCAAACTTGGGACAATCACAAATGCAATGACCAAGACCACCACAGTATGCGCAGCCTTTGACCCCACTTGCATTGGTGATGATGGCATCATCGACACCTTCCCCAGGAGTTTCAAGTTCAGCAAGGACTGGCGGAATATCCTTTGCTTAGCTTCTTGCAGGAGGTGTTTGAGATCAAGAAGCGTTGTCGGGCTCTGAGTTTTGTTTATGAAAGTTGTGGCATGTCCCGTTTTACCACACCTACCTGCACGCCCGATCCTATGGACGTAGTTCTCAATTTCAGCAGGCATGTCATAGTTTATCACGTGTTGTCATCGTCGTCATCATCATCACCCGAGTGCCACAAAGACTGATTGTGGATGACCCATAGTGAACATTGCTTCGAAAATTGTATGGATTGTCTACTGCTTCATAACAAAGAAACGCAGACACTTTAGTAGGTCATTTTGCTTTATCATGTTGTATGTCAGGAAAATCCAACCCTTTTGAGGCAACATCAGTTGCCACTTGCCACCAACACATCCTTCTTCCCTGCTTTGAACGATGAAATCGCATACTCCCTCTCTTCTTGGTCCCTCCATGAATAGAAACAGCTTCCACTCCTTGCAGTAGCATGTGTTCATATATGTTATCCACATCAGCTTTATTCTCACAGAATATTAAAACCGGAGGGGGCGTTTTCTTTAAACGGTCAGGAAGGTAATTCAACTTTGCCTCCTGCTTCACATACTCTACTTCCTGGACAACATCTAAGTTAGCCGCTCCAGCTCTTCCCACATTCACTGTTATGGGTTTAACCAAAGCACTTCTCGCAAAGTTTTCGATCTTTATAGGCATTGTGGCGGAAAAAAGTAGAGTTTGCCTTTGGAATTTGAAATGATTGAAAACTTCCCTGATGTCATCTTCAAAACCGATGTCTACTAATCTGTCTGCTTCGCCTAGTGTTAAATATCTGCATATGAGACAAGCATGGAGGTAAGCAAGTGAAGGTCCAAACTCACAGGAAGTCACAGATACAACATTTGTATGACAAAATTGGTGCAGATTTTTTAGGTTTCCAGCTTAGGAGTAGTTCGTTAATGCCGTGAAAAAAGAAGAAAGGCATTTTTTAGGCACACTGAAGGCATTAAAGGAAATTCAAAACAATTTAAACTACAATGATGAATAAATGAAGTGAGTAATCTATCGATGAAACTAGACATTCGAACAAAGGCTCATGTTTCTGAATTAGGTAATTAATTAATTGAAAGTTTAGACAAAAAGCTTACTGACATTAACAGTTACTCTGGACGCACTTAATTGTCGTAATAATTAATACCGAAAATGTAATATGTTGTTGCCAAAGATGAATTTCTAATTAATAAATTTATGGGTTAATTCCTTCATCATAGCTTCCAAAAGGTTTCATGCAACACTAATCCTACAACAGAAGCAGCAAGGAATTCTTACCTGCAATTCTCAAGGCACATTTTCTCTTTAGCAAGCATATCTTTAAGTCTTCCAGGTGTAGCAACTTCACCACATCTAGCTGGGACTTGATGTCAATTCCACCAATACATAATAGAGGTCTAATCTCAGGGTACCCAGCCTCCCTTAGAGGCTCTAGAAACTCTTCTATAACTTCATATGTTTGTTGTGCTAGCTCTCTAGAAGGACAAATGATTAATCCAAACGGCCCTTCTCCAGGCAGAATAGGCATCATTATCTCCTCCTGTAGGGCCAGCATGAATAATGTGCCACTTTTTACGAATGGTGTCATGGGCTCTTTTTCGCATCCTTCTGATGCCTAATGGAGGCTTCCTATCCGAGAGATGCTCAATCATTTCTTTCTCTTGTTGAACCATTTGCTCAGCCACACTCACCTCTAGAATTTCCTTCTTCACAAGCAAACTTGGTTTTTCCTCAAATTGTTTTGTCTTTTCAGCTTCAACTTTGTGAAGATATTTGTATATACGTGTAGTTAGTCATTTAGTTGTTATAACTACAGTTAGTTACAACGACATGATAAACTTTGACTAGTGGAAGAATAGTTGACTAACTATTGTATAAATACACTTTGAAAGCTTAATAAAAGTTAGTTCGGTTTTCTTATCTCTTTCTTCTTCTCGAAGTTCCACATGGTATCAGAGCTACCAAACAACCAAATCCGCCATTAATACACCTTCGAAAACTTCGAAGATCTTCAATATGCCAGACAGCTCGACGGTGAATCAATCCTTTACAGCGAACTCTACTGGTTCGTATAAGGATCCGCTCTACCTAGCGCCTGGAGATCATTCGAACTTGAAGATCACTGATGAAATATTCAACGGGAACAACTACTTGAACTGGTCCAGAGGAGTAAAGATGGCTCTAATTTCCAAAAATAAACTCGGATTTGTCACAGGAAAACTGAAGAAACCTAGAGAAGAAGATGATCAATTCCAGGATTGGCTCAGAGTCGATTACACTGTTATGAGCTGGATTTTACATTCTCTAATGCCTGCGATTGCCAGAACGATGATGTATGTGACATCATCTAATCAACTTTGGGAAGAAATAAACGAGAGGTATAGCCAAACGAACGCACCGTATTTGTATCAATTGAAAAAGGATCTTACTAAGGTTGTACAAGAGGGACAATCACTAGCTGACTACTTTGGAAGACTCAGATCTATCTGGGAGGATATTCAAACACTTGATAGCCTTCCGATGTGTGAATGTGGAGCCTTAAAGTCATGCACCTGTAATCTGCTGAAGAAAATCATAGAGAAAGAAAATCGGAACAGGTTAATGGAATTTCTGATAGGATTGGACAATCATTATGAGTCTATCCGAAATCATGTGTTGACAATTGATCCTCTTCCTACTGTGAATCAAGCGTTCTTCAGAATCCAGCAAATTGAGACACAAAAGTCAATAACAGGAAACTATGCAGATATCTCAGGAGGAATGGCTATGGCAGCAAACAAATACAGCAAGATTTCTGATACTCAAAACAAAATTGAAGAGAACAAACCTATGTCTAAAGCAGAATACCAAAAAATGAAGCTGGAGAAACAATCTTTGGTTTGTACTCACTGCAACAAGGTTGGACACATCATGAAGGACTGTTTTGAGATAAAAGGTTATCCTGACTGGTACAAAGGAAATAAAGGAAAGAACAATGCACAAAAATCAGGAAATAACAAAAGATTTGCTGGGAGTGCTGATTATAAGGCTGAAGAGATTGAGACACCTTTTGATTCAGATGAAGGAAAACAGTTCAAGATTCTGAAACAGTTAGATCCTCAAGTCATTCAAGCTTATCTTGCTCAGAGATCAAAGGATTACTCTCATCAAGGCAACAATTCAAATGACTTCAGCTCATCATCTTCAAATGCCTTCAACATGTCAGGTATGACTTATGTCTCTTGTGTGGATTTAGAAGCAAGAAAACATGAATCACACATTTGGATAATAGACACTGGAGCAACAGATCATATGACACATGATTTGAAGATATTGGAAAATAAAACATACCTGATTGAGCCCAGCAAAATTGTTCTTCCAGATGGTAGTGTAAAGAAGGTAACATTAATTGGTGATGTTAACATTTCTCAAGAAATCAGCTTGAAACGAGTGATGTATGTACCTGGTTTTCAACATAACTTGATGTCAGTAGGGAAATTATTGAAAGACACTAAAATGATAGTGAATTTCAATAATCATGGATGCTATATACAGGACCCTTCAACTGAGAAGAAGATGGACCTGGGAAGGAAGAAGAATGGTCTCTACCTATTTGAAGCAAATAAAGGCATCAGTGAAGTCAATTCATCCGGTTTCAAGGAGAATAAAGCAAGATGTTTAGCAAATAAATCATGTAAAGCTTCTAATACTTTACTATTGATGCATAACAGACTTGGTCATACTTCTTTGTCAAAATTACAGCATGTTGGTTTTGGAAATAATGAAGATAGTTTGTTTTGTGAAGTCTGCATTATGGCAAAACATCACAAATTACCTTTTGAAAGGAGTGATTCAATAGCTTCTGAAATATTTGAAATGGTTCATGTTGATATGTGGGACCATACAAACTGAAATCAATGACTGGAGCATCATATTTCCTAACCATACTAGATGACAATAGTAGAAATACTTGGACTTATCTAATAAGAGATAAGACTGAAGTTTCCAACATCATTCATAATTTCATTGCTTATGTGGAAACACAATTTCAGAAAAGAATCAAAGTAATCAGGTCTGATAATGGAACTGAAATAGTTCAATCAAATTGCACAAGAATTTTCTGTGAAAAAGGGATAATTCATCAAAGAAGTATCCCTGGAAATCCACAGCAAAATGGGAGAGTTGAGAGGAAACACAGACATCTCTTAGAAACAGCAAGAGCTCTAAGGATTCAAGCAAATCTACCTAAAAAGTTCTGGGGAGAATGCCTACTTACTGCCACACATTTGATTAATCTAATGCCTTCATCAGTTCTCAAGTGGAAAACTCCTTATGAAATATTATTTCAAAGGAAACCAGATTATGACATGTTAAAGGTATTTGGCTGCCTTTGCTTTGCTGCTATAAAGGATGCAGATAAACTCTCTCCAAGAGCTTTTAAAGGTATCATGGTTGGATATCCTTTTGGTCAAAAAGGATACAAAATTTATGATCTTGAGTCAAAAAGGATACTGATGAGCAGAGATGTTATCTTTAAGGAAGATGTTTTTCCTTTCAAAGAAGATCAAACTCAAAACACACCTAATAACATCTCCATCAATCCTTCTGGACTACTCATGAATGTTCCTCTTGATAACTCTTCCGCAGACACTCCAACCATAAATCAAAATGATTCATTTCAAAATGAACATCAATTTGAAAATTCTGGAATACCTGAATCTGATGATACAGAGATATCCATACATACAAGAAGATCCACAAGATCCAGAACTATGCCTCACAGATTACAAGATTATGTCTGCAAAGATCTTCCGAAGTCACTGATTTCTTCTGCAACAACAAGCATGGATAATGACACATACCTTGCAAATATGATCTGCTCCTCTTTGCAGAACTTCACATCAGAATATGTAGCTTCATTAGCTAATGTACTTTCAATTCATGAACCTGCTTCCTATGCACAAGCCAAGAAAGATGAAAGATGGGTCAAAGCAATGGAACAAGAAATTGAAGCACTTGAAAAAAACCAAACTTGGGAATTAACTTCATTACCAGAAGGGAAAAAGGCCATTGGAGCTAAATGGGTATATAAAATCAAGTTTAAACCAGATGGGACAGTTGAACGCTTCAAGGCCAGATTGGTAGCTAAAGGTTACAATCAAATCAAAGGGAAAGATTTTAAACACACCTTCAGTCCAGTAGCAAAATTCACTACAGTTAGAGCACTAATTGCTTTAGCTGCAGCTAAAGGATGGATGATACAACAATTAGACATAAACAATGCCTTTTTACATGGATTTATTGATGAAGAAGTGTACATGCAAGTTCCAGATGGGTACTCCAATGCTCAGACAGGACAAGTATGCAAACTCAAAAGATCATTGTATGGCCTAAAGCAAGCATCTAGACAATGGAATCTTGAGCTCACAAAATTTCTACTCAAATTGGGGTTTCAGCAGTCCAAACAAGATTACTCATTGTTTATCAAATTAGAATCAGAAACATTCACAGCATTACTTGCATATGTGGATGATTTGCTGATCATTGGAAACTCAAAAGAAAGCATTGAACATACAAAGGATGCATTAGATAAGGCATTTACCATTAAAGATCTTGGTTCACTCCGATATTTCTTGGGAATAGAGGTAGCAAGAAATGACCAAGGCATTATTCTCAATCAGAGAAAATATATCCTAGACATATTACATGATATCAAAATGATTGATTGTAAACCTGCACAATTCCCTATGCCTACTGGACTAAGACTGTCTGCTGACAAAAGTGAAAAACTTCAGGAACCTGAGCAATATAGAAGATTAATTGGGAGATTTCTATATCTGAACTTAACAAGACCAGACATATCTTACACTGTACAACAGCTAAGTCAGTTTATGAGTGAGCCAAGGATAAGCCATATGCAAGCTGCTTTGTTTCTTGCAAGATATCTGAAAAATACCATCAACCTTGGTCTCTTCTATCCAGCTCAAACATCACTTGAGTTATCTGCCTTTTGTGATGCTGATTGGGGATCATGTTTCATGACAGGAAGATCCTTGTCTGGCTATTGTATCTTCTTGGGAAGGTCACTCATTTCCTGGAAAACAAAGAAACAAAAGACTGTTAGCAAATCAACTGCAGAATCAGAATATAGAAGTATGAGCTACACTGCAGCTGGGATTGTTTGGCTTGATGGATTACTTATGGAATTACAACATGAGATTCCAAAACCCATCTTATTATATTGTGATAATATGGCTGCTCAACATATAGTCCAGAATCCTGTATTTCATGACAAAACAAAACATCTTCGGATTGATTGTCATTATGTACGGGAAAGATTTCAAGAAGGCCTTTTGGAACCCAGATATATATCATCTGGCTCACAACCTGCAGACATTTTTACAAAGGCATTAGGAGCAAAACATCATCAGTCTTTTATCTCCAAGTTGGGACTTGTTGCACCAACCAAAGTCCAACTTGAGGAGGGGATGTGAAGATATTTGTATATAC